TTTCTTCTTTTTTTCAGCATGGAATAAACCTATTACTTGTTCCTTTGCAGCCTACGCATGCTGACGCAGCTACCCACCTGAACTAAGATAAATCTAGCCCTTCAATCTTGTTTTCAAGAGATTATTTTATCTCAAACTATAATTTCTAAGCTTGTAAATTAAAAGCTCATTCATACTTCATGGACTTATGGTAAGCAACAAAAAATGAAGAGTACACAATTGCTGTAGCTCTAGTGAGCAAAATTAAAGGAAAGAGCATCATAAATACCGGATCCTTTGTATTTACATAGTTGCCATTCAGATGTGAATTTGAGAAAATGTACTGTACATTTTTGTCTTAATTATCTGACATGTCTGGCTATAGATGGTTCTTTAGGGCTGCAAAACATACAAGAATTTCTTTTCTGAATTGTCTAGGATACTTACTGTGCTGAAATAAAATTGTAATAGCTACTCAATCTTTCTGTCAATATGAAATTTGACTGACTTTTCAATGTTATTGTTTTGTCTCATTTCTGGCTGGGTAAATTAGTCAGAAACAAACACAGACAGTGCAGTGTAGTTAGGTATTTGCTTTTCTATGATCTGTTGCTCACTTAACATTTTAACAGTTCTTCTTACACCCCGTGTTGAGGAAATGTTACATCAGCCCCCCCACTATAGGCAGAGCTTCCTTAATCCGATATTTCCTCACACAAGACAGAAACCAGGTAATGAAACTAAAATCAGGGAGAATATCCGGCTCTGGCAAGATACTGTACAGGATTTGGTGTTTGGAAGAGTGGTTATGTTATAGTGTTGCCTTAGGGGCTGAATGCAGTAGATGATTGAGTACATGCTGTGAAATTAGACTCTGCTGAAATAGAGTGGTTCTGCTACTGAACCACAGCAACAAGGGTACTACCTCATTACTAGTCCACTGTAGCCATAACACTATGCCCACAGGAAAGATTTAAATGTACAGCTGTATGGATTCTTTTCACAATCTGCATTGAATAAACACATCTACATTTTTTTAAATAGTTTTCCTCATTGTCACCAAGCTCAATGACAGGACATCTCAAAAGCCTGTTTGTAGCCAGTCAACAAGCAATCAATTTTACAGATCCTGATCTGCGACAAGGTGGTGACTGTGCCTTTTTCATCCTAACTTTGAACAGTCTCACCCCACCACCACAGTGTTTACCATCCTTTGTGAAAGCAAGCAGCTCTTTCCTTGCATTTGGTTTTTTGGTTAATAAAAAGGTGTAGGCCTTTAGAAAGCATCTGGAGAATGCCACACCTGTAAAACGGGTTGGGTGCACTGTGCCTGGCTCACTGTGCTGTTTCCCTGTGCTGCAGGTGGCCATTCTTATTCCTTTCCGAAATCGTCACGAGCATCTCCCAGTGCTCTTCAGACACCTCATCCCAGCTCTGCAGAGGCAACGGCTTCAGTTTGCCTTCTACGTTATTGAGCAGGTAGGACTCCTGTAATCCCTGTGTGCTTTAGGCATTGTTTCAAAACCAGGCTCAAAGTCAAATGCTTGCCAAATGAAACTAAAGCCATATTAACAGTGTGGAAACTTCTTTGGTATGTTTTACTCAACCTTTCCTCCTACTAAGCTGGCTCACACTAATTACTCAACATTGCTTAATACCCTTTTGGGAAACTCTAAATTATTCACGGCAGGGCTTTCCAATCTTCTACACCAGTGACTTGTTTTCATTGTAGTGGCAATTGAAAGCTATTGCAGAATAGCAGAGTAGTACTCGTTTGGGATGATTCTTCTAAAAAAGACTAAATTACAGTAATGGGAGTATTCAAGATGTCATCTGCTGCAAGAGGCCCCTTTTGCTTGGGGTGCAGATCTTTAGTGTAGGAGCACTCACACACAGGAGATTTTTAACCAGAGGAATTAGTCATTCCCTCCCTCAAAACTATGTTCCGCTACTATGGGTGCTGTTGTACTGCTTATTCCATCTTAATGTTTCAGTGTAATTTTTGTCAGTGGTGGAGCTGGGGAGCAATGTGTAGTGTAGGGTAAAGCATTTTAACAGCTTCTTTGTAGGTGTACAAACCTACTGTGCATAAGGAAGTACCCTTTTGAAGAGTAATTGAGCTTAGCTGGGGCTCCCCCTGCTGTCTGAGCTCTGGAGTAACACCAGGTATTTCTCAGGCAGGAACGCAGCCCTTTAACAGAGCCATGCTGTTCAACGTGGGGTTTCAGGAGGCAATGAAGGACCTGAATTGGGACTGCTTCATCTTCCATGACGTTGACCACATCCTAGAGAATGACCGCAACTACTACGGCTGTGGAGAAATGCCCCGGCACTTCGCCGTCAAGCTCAATAAGTACTCCTACATGTGAGTCAGCCGCCACTCCTGCAGGAGTTCTGTAAAAGCCTTACCACAGTAATATCCATCGAAAGAAAGTAAGAGCTGCCTGTTTTACTTTATTTTCTGCTCTTAAATGGAATGTACAGAAAGTATGAAATTTGAGATTCATATGCACTATAAATTTGCCGTTCTACTGATACAAGGTCCATAATATGGGATCTTTCCCGCTCCTCTTGCAAATCCAAGCTCTTTTTCGCATTCCTCATCCTTAAAGGCAGACATCCTTATACTGTAAGCCACACATGATAGTAACCACAAAAGTAATTGGAAACTGGACCATTAACCTGTCAGAACTGCTTGTTTTTGATTGGCAGGTGTTTTCATAGAATTAAAATTAAAATTGGTTTCCATTTCCTTCAAGGACTCATACATTAAACTGTATATGAGCTTAAATGAAAAACAAAAGTGATAAAAAAACTTTTTTCTTCCACTAGCCAACTACGACTAAAGATTTCCCAAGCTGTTGGCGGCCAGGTAAAGTTGAAAATAGTTGTCAAGAGTTCTTGCAGCTTTCGGGCCAACAGCCTTTCCTGTGACTTGGTGTCCTGCAGGCATGCAGTGATACTGTATCTGTGATGCAAGGAACAGGGCGGAGGCTTGTGCTCAGGCTACCCATGCAACTTGACTGGCTCCAGCTCAAAACAGCAATCTGGTTCTGTCTTTTAGACTCAATTCCCACAAAAGCAAATGTTCAAGGGGCCTGCATAATCCCAATGTGGGAGTAGAAGGTGGTTGTACAATAATTTGTGATTTTCAGAATTGTAAAAAAATACGGTACATATTTTCATTCTCTAACCTTACTCCATCATAATGGAACTAACCTTTATTATCCAGAATACTTAATAGGACAAGTTCCATGGCATAATGGAAGACTGAGGCTGCTTCTCTTTCCCTCTTTAGGCTGCCATACAATGAGTTCTTCGGGGGCGTCAGTGGTCTGACTGTGGAACAGTTTAGGAAAATCAATGGCTTCCCAAATGCATTCTGGGGCTGGGGAGGAGAGGACGATGACCTCTGGAATAGGTACGATTTTATGGTTATATTACTTTTAGATAACACAGTGTACACATTTATTTTGTGGATCTTGATTTTTGGTATTAGTATTCTTATTATTGTCTGTTTTTGAAATATAATTTTACTGTCTTTTGTTTGATGTATTGTGTTGAATACAATCATTTGGAAGTTATTACCGATTAAAAAATTCATATGATTTACCCTTTGCAACAAATGGTGGACTGCCATACCTGTGCACCCCTCGGTCTGCCATGATCATTCTTTGTAATGCGGATTTGTGTCTGGCAGGGTTCAATTTGCTGGATATACAGTTAGCCGGCCTCCGGGTAACATTGGGAGGTACATGTCTATTCCTCACCACCACAGAGGAGAAGTGCAGTTCCTGGGCAGGTGAGAAACCCTTTATTCCTCCATTAGCCCCCTGCCACACTGTGAACATCTGGACTACAGCTAAGACAACAAGCAGTCAGGGCCCTGTACAGCTGTCTTTACCATTGCAATAAGCCAGTACCATAAATACCAGAGGACCCATGTGCCAAAAGTGAAGTCAATAGAAAGCAGTTACAGCCACACAATGAATAGAACAGCTAGGCAATACTACCTTTTTGACAGAGTCATCAAACTAACAACAGTAAGCATTTAACAAGTATTAATCAATATATTTGTCTAGATATTATCTTCCCTATGAAATGTCATTACTGGGAATGGTATCCGATCAGTCCTGAATGTTGATTTTTTTTAAATGTTTATTTCTAATATTCTTGTTGTATTTCATTTCACAATGATCATCCTCAGTCTTTTATTTCTGCACACTGTATTGCAACAGTTGTCACTCTTAGTTTGGGTGGCAGTTTGTTGGGCTGTATTCAATGCATTGCCTGCAACGGATCTGTCTTTGCAGGTACTCTCTGCTGCGACATTCCAAAGACAGGCAAAGCCGGGATGGACTGAACAACCTTAAGTACTACCCTGTTGTCTCCCAGAAGGCCCTGTTCACCAACATCACGGTTAACCTGAGCCCAGAGCTGGCTCCTGTTGCCGACTACTGACCGATTCACAGAGACGGCTCCAAGTGTTGCTTTACAACAGCACAAGCACTCTTGAAAGTTTCAAGCGACGCTTAACGTAATCATCGGGTTTAACACAACAGTCACATTCAGAGACCTTTTATTTTTGGTTCCTGGGGTTGAGTTTCTGAAAGGAGGCTTCACCTATTGATCCAGCAAATATCAATAGATTGAGTGTCAACACAACCTGGCACTCCTGCTCCACTGTGTTTTTTATTGTGTTTTTGTGCCTCCACCTGACAGCAGGCCTTGTTTAAAGGAATGGTGGCCTTGGCCCACTCACTTTCATTGACTTCATTCGTTTCTGTTTGCATTGACTTTTGTCGTACCAGCATGTGAAATGGCAAAACGTGCTCCCATAGGCAACACCTCGAAGCAAAACAAAGTGCACAGGGTCTTGTTTGATTTATTCCAGTGTGGAGGTCTCCTTTCTGAATGTTCCATTATTGAGTAACACAAACAGCAAAAGCGATATGATTCCAGTGCACATGCAAACATGACCAACACGTTTGTTGTGCATTCGTACATCGGCAACGGTCCTTGAACATGTGTGGGTTTGGGCACATTACCAGGACAGAAAGCGTGCGTGTGCAACAACTTCGGTTCTCTCTTATCCTTCACACCAGGGCGTGGTGTCGTTGTCCATACGGCAAGAGTTTACTGTTGTGGACCCATCACAAGAGAATATAGAGAGCATGCATTTCACCAGCTCTGTGTGCTGAACTGTACACTGAAGAACTTTCCCTGCACTGAAATGAAGAATATTTACAATTATTGTCAACATGGGAGCAGCATTTAGGGACACAGCAGCTGGTTCTGCTTGTGGATTGTAGGTTATTTAAAAAGAACCTCTCTTGGAGGGGAATAGTGACACTGGGAAATAGTTTAAGGAAAGGGAGTGTCTTGCAATGGAATTCAGAACATTCGTTTGTGGTGACTGTTGTCATGGAATTTTGTCATGCATGGAGGACACTTCCTGGACAAAATAGCTGAATCTGTGCCACCAGTCTTCCTTGTCCTGTGGGATTAGCTACTGTCCGTACAGCACTATGTCCTTTGACTTCTCAGAACTGGCCACACTGAAGCTGCTATTGAAAAACAAATCTTCAGAAACGACCCTTAATCTCAAGCAATCACTCAAGTGTCCACTAGTTTATGTGTCATCAAGGGTTGGCGCTCACACTTTTGTGTGCTGCAGGCCATTTCCAACTCTTTTAAGAATGTATTTGAATGTACAGGGGTGTATCTATATGCTTTACTAGCAGTGTAAAATATCTGCAGGTGTTGGATGGGTTCCCCCCCCCCCAGAAAAAAACAGTAGACAAGTGAAATATTGTGGATATCTAAAAAGCCAGCCTTCAGTGGCCTTGAGCATTCACAGCCTCATGCTTCATATTGTGTCCAGATGAAGGGTATCCAAGAAGTTGCTTTGATTACTTCACCAGCCTCCTTGAGCAATGTGCAACCAATTTGCATATCACTTCTTTAAAAAACAACTTCAGAAAATGTTCCTGCCAGAAGGCAGAGGTTTTTATTTAGAAAAATTGTTACTTTCACACCTTTTTGGCAATGTGGTATCTTATGTCAGTGTTAAACTCTGTATCCTGTATATGATATATAGTTCAGTGTGAAACAGACGAATGTACCTGTCTGGGGTTTCCACATTAATTCCACTTTTAGAGAATGTAAGATTTAAATGCGTGTATTGCTTGAGGCTGCAGTGTAACACTGACATGTTCTTAATATTAGGTTTCCAGCGTTCTGTGTATAAATAGAAAATACTCTGGGTTTTGGAGGAATCGGTTGTACTGTAACAGCAGTGGTTCCAGGCAGATTTATAACAGAGTAGACAGTTTTTAGTATTCAGTCATTTCTGAGCTGTTAATTGTTGGCCACATAAATTATCCAGAATTCTCAATCAACTATTTAATAATTAGTACTGTTAATGGAATTAGGACACAATGACATTGTTGATGTGTCTGTCCTACAAGCACACAAGCCTTTGTGACTAAAAATACATAAAAGAATAAAAATAATTATAGAAAAATTAAAAGTAAAACAAACAGATTTACTCTGCAATATTCTTTACCATTACTTTGTTCAGCCTCCACAATACTATAATTATGGTGAAAACAATGTGAAATCAGAAGTGATTCTTCAGTTTTCTTAAAATTTCACTGAACTGCAAATATAATCCTAAATTACAGGGACATGTAGAGTCAGATTTTTAAACTAAAAGACTTTGAAAGGAACAATGCTTTTGAAATAAACACCTTGGTCTTAGTATATTACTGTTTTTTCCAAAACAGCACAATTTATTTTCTTCTGCTTAATTAAAATGGCAGCTGATGCCACAGTGTGGTCATTTACAGTAGGTTTAGAAAATAGAACTAGACTGTGTCCTCCAACTGCCCTCAACTATGTTCAGAAGTAGATCAGTTGTGATAACAATACAGTGACAGTCCTCAAAGCACAATTCTCAAACACCTACCTTGAATGGAAACTTTAATTAAGGTTTATTGAAGATGTTTTAGTGTTACCCCCGTGAGTGTGTTTAAGCAATACAAAGAATTACATTTACATTAATTACATTTACATTAATTACATTAACTAATCAGCCATTCTCCATTCAGACTGTCTCCCTCTCACACACTGGCCTGTCCAGTGGACCACAATATGTGCTAATTTAATGTAGGTATTCAAAACTGTTTTTATTTCATGCATGTATGACATTTTAACTTGGGAATACTTTGAACATATTAGTCTTCTAAAATCATTTAGTTCAGTTCATCCTTGAGGTCTTAAAGTCATGTAGGTTTTACACGTACTGATTAGAACCTAAAAGCAAGATCTGATTTTTTAGATGTTGCCCTTATTACCGAAACGAAGGTGTAATATTGTGAGTTGATGATGGAAACTTTGAGACTAGCACACTCTTTGCAGTTACAATGCTTTATCTAACCCAAAATGATCTGCACTGCTCCAGCTATATTTATAAAATGTCTGTATTTTTCTATTGCAACATTGATTTGATGTGGCTTTTAGTGTTTTGGAGACCAAGTAGAAATATTTGTTTTGCCAAGTTAGAGACTTGCTTATTACATGTACATTTGTGTAACTGCCGAGCTGTATTCCACAAACATTGCCTGCTGTTCTCAAAGCTTTCATCATAAACTAGCTGGAAATGCAGAAAATGAGAAGGCTATAACATTTTTATCAACTATCAGTGCTCTTGACAAAGGTTGCTCAGTCATACAGCTCTTATTTTTGTTCTGTTTTGTAGTACGTGTTCTCTCCCCACACAGTTTCAGTGTAGAACACTTCCAGGTTGAGAACACTGTTGAAAACACTTTTTTGTTATTTTACCTTTACAGAGCTTAGGTGTATTACCAAATATACCTTAAACCCATTCAGAATCCAAATCAACTATTTATGGAGTCTGAACCCAATTAATTCTGCCAGTATATGAGGCTGTTTATGAGAACAGGCACAAACTCAAACGTTTTCAACAGTGTCTTTTCCTCAACTTTCACTTGGGTAAATCTGTGCTTCATTCCAGGGTCTGGAATACAAGGTTGTGTAACTGTAAACCTGTCCGTAAATCTAGTGCAATCAATGATCTTGTGTAAATAAGAGACCCCCTGTGACACTGAGCTAATTCATGGAGTAGAAACCCATTAAATTAAAAGAGGTGGAATTGTGGTATTTCTAATCAGTTGTGCCTCCAAAATGAAGTGAATACACCTATATAACGTGCCCAAAACGTATTTGTACACCTAGGTTACTAATACCTCTTGGAAGCACTTCTAATGCCTGTGCCAAAAGAACCACCTGTTAACTGACACTCTTAAAAACAGTCCTCAAAGCTGGCATCTGAGATTTCTGTCCAACAATGCTATTATAACAGAAATAGAGATGTGATAGTCTCTATAAATAGAGGAGAGGGATACCAGATCAAGGCTGGCAGCAAATGTGCGTTTTAACCCAAAGGTATTGGAACAGAATGCTCTGATCTATTTACACTGCTTACAATATCTGGCATCTCATCTGTGGTTCAGTATAAAAGCATAGATTACATAGGGGTCTGCAGCTCCAGTCCTGGAGAGCCACAGTCCTTCAATGTTTATAGGCAGCCTTGAGCAGAGATATGGAAAGCATGTTAACTAATTAAGACCTTGTCTGGAATAAACAGAAGTTAATGTGGCCCCTGGGACATGATCTGCAGGCCTCTGACTTAGAAAAATAAACCTGGGTTCTACTGGTACTTTTTCTTGAGTAACTGATAAGCTAGTGCTGGTTTTATCATTCTTTTACCTTGACTGGTTTATCTGAAAAGACAACACAAACTAAATGTTTCTTTTTTCTAATAGCCTTGATTTCTGATTAATTGTGGTTTACATTTTCGGGATAAATAGTTTTGTTGTAATAATATTGCACAGAGGCAGGCCTCTTTTTTAATTTTTGTTTTGTTGAAACGGAGCAGCTATGGATTTTTGACTCTGTGCTTGGTGTATGTTTTCTTCCTGTGGGTTCAAAGTACAGCTCTGTTTTTAGACAGGGCACCATTTTGAATGAAGACTGTAAAGGAAATAAAAAATAGAACATTTATGAAGAATACCTCCTTAAGCACCTCATTTAGGCTCTCGTGCTGCTGCTGCTGTTGCTGTTAATACCTCAGTTTTGTATATGCTCTGTGTAATTTTGATTTAAAATACTTTCACTGTTTCTAAAGAAAAGAACCTGTGTTTTTGTTCAGGTGAGTTGGGAGCAGGTGAGAAAGGAGTATATTTTAAAATGTCTTCTTTCTTACTTCTGAAATTTTCAACCAGTCTGCAACACAGTATGAATTCATGTAGCCAGTAATGTTGAGGTGCTTACTGGGGTTGCTTAATGAAAGTGTTCTAAATCTTGTCTCCTATATTTAGTCTGAAAAAAAGGTGTTCTGTTGTGCAGAGTCATACTGCTACATTAATCCATCAAAGAAGAAATGTCACACACGGGCCCTTCTCTAGACTGCCTTTGCTCTAGACTTGGAGGAATCCAATTCAGGCAACTGGAATGAAGGGATAGCTACTCCCTGAATGGTTGGGGGCCTTAAAGACTTAAATTATTTTATGCATTTTTATTTTTTATAAATTTATTTAATGTTCAAAATAAAACCGAAAAAATTATACCTGTATATATTTTGTTGTGTGTTACATGTAGGTCCTTACATAATAGGCGTTATCTACACAGGACTTTAGCTTTGAGTTCCCTTAAGCAGTCCTGCTTCAAAGAATAGTGTAGTTAAAGGAGAAGTTAAGGTTTGCTGTTTCTAAACCATGTTTGTCCTAAAGCATGTTGGTATCCATTCCCATTTCCTGTCCCTTTTTTAAATGAAGCTCGATTTGATATGCAGCCTTATACTGTAGAGATAATTACTGATAGTGGAATAGTAATGATCCAGAGGTCACATCCAGGGTCTGATGTCTGTCTGAGCCCAGTAGAGTTTGTCCTCCCAGCAGATGTGTTATTTTTTTAGAATAGGATCCTTTTTGTTCCTCTTTTCCTAAGGGAGATACTTACCCCCCCCATTTCAAGACCTTGTTAAATTGGGAATCCCAGATGCAGTAGGGTCAGAAAATATAGAGGGAGAAATTGCATGCGATCACCAGCTGATCAAGGGCCAGAGCCAGTTAGGTTTGGCTGGTTGGACAACCTTGAACATTATGGATTCCCTGTAACATCTATCTCTATGCAACTGCACTATTACTATTCCACCTCCAAATTCAAGTCGTGAGTATAAAAGCACACACAATATACAGTACATGGGTCTTATACAGCTTATAATGGTTCAAGGGTTTTCAGTTCAGTACTTTAATTATCTTGATATCTTAAACTTGTCCACATTTTCCACCATTACATTCTAAATCATAAGATGGCTCACTGGTGTATTTAAAGGTTTCTTCTGGACTACCCCTGCACCTTCTGTCTTCAGTGCCATATTGGATGAACAATACAACCTTTATAATGAGCCCATTTGTCACATGCATAATTGAAACCTTGTATCTGTACTATTGCATATCTTGTTGACCATAAAGATTTGTATGATGCAGTGTTTTTTTAATCAACCAATAAAATACATCAAAAGAACAATTCCCTTATGCTGAAAATAAATGCTTTCAGTGAGTAAAATGTAAAATGAGGGCTTCTTCATTTGGAGTATTTGGGGTGTGATACATTGCTCTGGCCTAGCACATTGTTTGAGCCACAGGCCTTTGCATTACTAGTGCAATGCACAGGGAAGCTACCTACTAACTCCTTGTATATATTGGCATGCAAGTGTTATGAGACAACTATTTTGAATCTTTCTCTATCTCTTTGGACCGCTGAAGGATTGTCTCTATGGTCAAGGTTTTAACAGTGATCACAATGTCCAACTTTTATCAAGAAACATACTGTATGACTTGAATGCAGGCACAGCAAAAGAAGTACAGTAGCCTGCATAATATAATGGTGATGCAGACCAAATAACCACACTTAGTCACTTTCCATGTGATTTGCCTTTATATTTTAAAATTTGTGTTTATTTATATTTTTTAAACTGCCATTAGTAATTTTTTATCAGTTTTTAAAAGGATGAATCGGATACACCATATACCTGTACTGCTGAACATACAAAACATACTGCATTACAGTTCACAGACACTGAGACATTCAGTTGGCTGCACTGGAGTTTAACAATCTCAATAGAAAGAGGATAGATACTGTATGCATGGGTTAAACATTATCTTTCAATCCAAAGTCACACTTAACATCAACTGAAGATGAGCTTGTCTGTCTGGGGGCCACTAATCTATTTGACATGTACTGTACAAGAGGTGTCTGCTGAGTTGCATTCAAAAATGTTCTTCGCCTATAACATCCTTACTATCTGTTGAGCTTTTATCAGAAATGAAAAGAAAAAACAGCTCTTCTGTCCTTCACAGACTGACTAACCTACACCTATCTGAACAGATAAGATTAAATGTGCATTATTTACTGAGAGAACATGAGAATATGCTTTCTCCATTTCTCCTTGCCCCTTTTCACACTAGCAGAAGAGATCTTGCTGCATTTTTCTTCAGTCTATGCCAGTGCTCAGTGTCAGCAGACTAGTCTGGTTGTAGCATCTCAGCCCACCCTGTGGACAGGGCCATGTCACATTAGAAGGTGCCCTGGTATTAAACGATGCATTAACACAAGAGCGTATTCCTTTCCCACTGAGCCCCGCAGACTTAATCAGTGCATCTGATTAAGTGCATCTCATTCTGCAGCCATTTTCCAGTCACCTGGAAGCCACAGACTCAAGTCCCCAACGTTGGGCTTAAGTTAGTGAGCCAAGGAGAGTGCAAAAATATGACTAGTAATATGTAATATTCTTTTAAAACATCTGCCTGTTACATCTTAAGTGTAATTTAGGATGGTTAGGGTTTTCTCTGCAGTGGATTGGCACTTATTCAGCATTTTGCAAACTTTGTCTGCCAGGTTTGGCTCTGGCTCACTGTAACACTGTACTGGTCAAAATGATAATTGAAAAAATACAGTGTAAATGTATGGTTCCTCTGGTTGCATTGTCTGGAGTGTGTATTTTAGGTAGTGTTTTCTGTTTCTTGGTATGGCAATTTGGTCCATGTGATGTTGTAGCAAATAGAAATGAAATCAGGCAGTTTTCCTTCACGAGTAGGAAATGCAGGTGTCTGAAGTGTACAAAGACAGCAGCCATCTGCTTCCCAACATTTCTTTCATTTAACTGCACTTAGACAATACAAATGACTTTGAGGGGCTTATAGACACGAGAGAGGGAAAGGAAAGGTACTTTAACAGCACTGCATTTGAGGAAAAATGATTTACAGAGACTTGAGATGCCACTCAGAATCAGTTGAAGCCCTATTATCAGAGCTTTGCTTCTTATTCCCCCAGTTCTCTTTCTGCTATCTACAGCCAAGAATGAAAAGAGTGGCCTTCAGCAGTTGGGATTTACAAAGTGCCTTTGTCAGTTACATTATCTACCTTACAGTCCTGTTCCTCAGAAGACTTATGGACCAGTGGCAGATTTATCAATCTTAGTATCTAGTTCTGGGCCATGTTGGTAATTTGACAAGCAATTCATTTTCAACTGCTTTCTTTTTTCAGTTTCCCTGTAAGTGCAAGTCTGCTTTTTTTAAAATGTTGGTAGTAACTTTAAATAAAAGTATTACCACTGGTTGCAGTAGGTTATAAAACTGTTCTTGCATTCTCAGAACACGCCTCACAATTGTCACATTTATTTTCAAAATATGTGACATTCCAAAACCTCCCATTAGATCTATAGAATTGATACCACCCTAACAGAGACAGCACACCACAAGCCAACAAAGTGTTGTAGGAAATCTGGCACCAAGTGATTCCTTTATAGCACTAGGAAACATTTTAATGTATGCTGAAAAGAGAAGAAAGGAAACACAACCTTTTGGCTGTTGAGCATCTACAGCCAAAAGGTTGTTCCTTTTCTTCTCTTTTCAACATGGAATAAATCTTTACTTGTTCCTTTCCATCGTACACATGCAGACACAGCTACCCACTTGAGAATTTTAATGTGTTCTTTCAACGGCATAATAGCTCAATTTAACACCAAAAAAAGTAAGCACCAATTTGTTCTCATAACGCAAGTCACAAGAGACATCCTCAGAGGCTCATATGATATTTCACAAGACCTATATCAAGATCCCCTTTCCTGCCCTGTCACTGACCCTTTATTCTGCTTGGCTCTCTCTTGCTGAGAGATACTGACCCAGGCTGTAAGAGGTCTGAAAATAAAAAAAAATAATAATAACCTTGACATCACACCTACATGACTGCTTCTTGAATTGTTTATTTTTAAACACCAGCCATGTCTCAGTGGTCTTAAAGTGTATCTGTTCTTCATTGGTGTAGCATCTATTGCTCTTGCAAATCCATTGTATAAAAAATAGGATAAAAAAGGGACATGGTTTAAATCTACAGTACTTGTTGGTAAAAAAAAAGGTGGGAAGTTGTAGGAGACATAACAGGATACATGATGTTTTGTGGATGATGTTATGATGTGGATGATGTTATGCAAGAAATACTGCAGGGGACAGCCTAGGTGCAGAACTACCACACTTACTGTGACACCTCGCTATCGGTCTCTGTCTCCTGGTGCCTTCTCTCGTTGGCCTGTTTGAACAGAGAGCTTCTGTGGGATTTGCTCTTGAGAAAAACACAAAACATCGTGGATACCTGGATTTTAAGCCATTCCAGTTTTCTTGACTCGTTCCATTAATTAAAACTTGCAGAAAATCCATGTGCTAATAGGATAGTACTGACGTCAAGGACCGGAATGGATTTTTTAATGCATTTAATTTCAGCACGGCTAAACTGGGACCTCCGCATAAAACGCGCTCAACTTACTGCATGGTAATTAGTGATTTAATAAAGCCCGTGAGACACTCATACTCCGGGCGTAAGAGAATCTTGCGCAAAACTGTCAGGTGTATTTGGTTCTACAGACAATTGCAACCTGTCTAATTAATCAGCACAGTGCTCTCAGGGCCTGAAGTCAATGCTGTCTTTCTCCCAGAGGTTTCTGGTAAAGCTTTTTAGTAACCTCAGCCCTTGGAGCTGCGTCATAAGAAATACCTCCCGTGTGCAAATCAAGGATAATCAAAACAAAAACACGACTGTCAGCTCTACTGACATCACCTACCTGTGCACACACACACACACAATTCAGTATAAAAGGTACTTTAAACGTGTTTAAACTATAATTGTTTACATATTTGTATTATATGTTATTTAATCGTAAAGGATCAGGCATGCTTGTGCTATCTCTTGGAAGACTCAGAATATCCTGTTTGCTTTTTCATCAGTACAATATATTTTTGTATATTCTAAAGAAACCTTGCTACCAAACGAAATATCTTCTAACAGTGGTTATGTCTAAATAAAAAAAAGTTATGTTTTATGAAACTTGTGCTTTGAGGAATCGTAAATTGTGTTTTAAAAGCAGATGCTGAGACTTACGTTGGGGCCGTGAGAAGCGTTTCCTGTCATTTTCTCCCCTGTTGATGCTGTTTTAATCAAACGGCTTTGTGCCTCAACGGGCCTTACACTGACTGACACGACGGCTCGGAATTAGAGTTCTAATCTTCAGGATTTTAGATTTAAAGCCACAGTTCATAAAAAGGGCTTTATTTCTTTCCCAGTTCATCCTTCGAATCGGGACCTTGACTGCAACCAGTGTCCGCTTCGCATTTCACAAAAGGTTCCTGGCGATTGTTTTTTTGTTTTGTTTTATTTGGAAGAATCATTAAAGATGACCATTCAATATATTTACCGTCAAAATGAGTATTTTGTCAAAAACGGGATTGATGACTTGCCCCTCTAAGAGTAAAGGTCTGAATTTTGAAAACTCTATTTAAAACAAACGTGCAGTTGAAAATGAAAAAAAAAAAGCAAATGCAATGCCTCTTGTTATTTTACCCCCTTTTAACTTAATTGGTTATCCATCCCTGGCAGTTACAGTATACAGTATATAGCTCTGAATTTTCCCAAAGAACATGTGGAAGATATTTTAATATACTGTATGTGCTTGACTGGCACCTTGTGGTAATATAGTGAAATGTCAACAACTAACTGTACTGCAGTACTTCTTGTTTCCTTATCTACCTGTCAAAGGCCAAAGATTTTTCACTTTGCAGATTTATCGTTTTTTTTTCTGAATTAAGAAACAAAGATATAAGGTATAATAATGAAAACTACTGGAAAGCCAAATACAACAAAAGGACAAATTAATTTTGGACAAACTCGTGTTTTTCCACACAAAACAAATGTACAAAAATGTTTAGCACCTTTGAAATTGAAAATGTAAAAAAATTAAAATTTTAAAAAGAAATAGAAATGACTTGCCAGTAGAAACCCGTAGCAGCTTAGTAATTTCTGGTATTGTTTTGCTTTAACAAATTTTACCAATATATCACATTGCAGTCTCTCTTCTTTTATCTTCATATAAGTTAAAACTATCATTTAAGTCCATATAAAAGTGAAAAAATGCCCCATTAATATAAAACCTGGACGAAATCTTTTTCATCTATACAGCCATGAGCACACCCACTCCTTGTCAGTGAACAGAGATTAATGGTTTTAATGGTTTCCATTCTGTCCTGCTTCTCCTGTTTTGTTGAGGCAGTCTTTAAGTCCGTCTTTCAGCTCAGCTAGCTGATGGGAGTGGGTAGACAGAGTCCCCTTCACCTGCGAGAGGTAGCTGTTGGAGTGGCTCTCCAGCTCCCCACGGATTCTTTCCAAGTCGTCCGCCAGCCCTCCCAGATTTCCACACAGCCCTTCTACCTGCGTCACTCTTCCATCCACCACGCTGAATTCTCTCTGGACATTAAGGGCCGTGCTTTTGCAGCCCTGCAGCTCTCCAGCCAACCTGCGCTTCAAAGTCTGCAGCTCCCCCTTCAGCTGATGGAGACGGCGTTCGCTTAGGCCCAGTTGAGAGCCCTGTTGTCCCACCAGCTGCTGGATGCCATGGACCTGGTCTGTCAGCCAGAGCTCGTGCTGCTGCCACGTGGAGTTAGCCTGGCTCACCTCTTGAGCAAAGAGGCCGACGGAGTCCTTCAGGCCCTTGACGGTGCGATTTACAGAGTTGAAGTTGATCTTCAGGAGTGTGATTTCGCCTTGAATGGAGTCTTCCCCTTCCATCTTGACCAGCCTGTTGAGGACCTGTTGCAGGGTGCTGTTGAGCTTATTCAGGTCATCCGTGTGGGCGTCCAGCTGCCCAGAGACTTTCTTTTCTGTGTCCTTGCACTCCTCCATCTCTGTTTGGAGCTTTTCCACCATCCCAGAAGCCTTGGGACAGGCCGAGGAGCACAGGATCTCTAGATGAGACAGTTGGTTTTGCATCCCACTCAACTCTCCCTCCAGTTGCCTCCTTATAGCCTCTAGATCCGTCTCCAAAGTGGGAATTTCCAGGCCTTCCAGGAGAGGAGGATCAGTTGTGTTCTTTGATAAAGTCACCTCTGTAGAATTTAATCGTGCTTCAATATCTTCCAGGCGTTTAGAACAAGTCTTCTGTCCTTCAAATTTACTATCAACCCATTCTCTCTCCACAGCACTTAGCCTGATGTCCAGCATTTCCACCCGGTCGGACACATTCCCTATAATAGTGGAATGTGCGTCCAGTATGGGTTGAAGTTCTCTGTGAGACTCAGTTAGGCCCTTCAATGACTCCTCGATCAACAAGACTCTGTTTGAGAGACTTGAAACTTGGCCACAGCAGCTCTCTGTCAGAGTCAGGCCCTGGATCTGAGCTTGTAGGTTCCCCAGCTCCTTTCTCAGGCCTGTTTCCCTTCCATCCAGGGAATGCTGTATCATCTCCTGCCCATTGAGCTGTTCCTGGTGACACTGGCGCTGAACCTCCCCAATACGTGCCTCACAGTGGTTCTGCAATCCAGACAAGCGCTTTTCAAAGCCATCCAGGATCTCTGCCCGTATTCCTGCCAGCTTGGTATCTATAAGTTCCTCCAGAATTTTCTGCGAGGTCAGGGGAGAGGGTCTTCCAGTGTCAGACTCTAACAAGTGCTTGAGCTGCCCATCATGGCCCAAGACCATGCCATGGAGCTCATCCAGCATTTCGCTCTTGATCCTCAGCTCATCCTTCACCTCTGTCACTTTCCCTGCCAGGTCTCCAAAGCCTGGGAAGCCCTCTCCACCCTCCAGGCCATCGGGGTTACCATCGGGAATTACCCCAAAGCCCACGGTAGAGTCGGAGTGGTGTGGTGGTGAGCTCAGGAGGGAGCCCAGCATCTTGTTGGTGTCTTCCCTCAGGGAAAGGCGCAGGCTGTCCTCCAGGCCGGTCACCATGCCATGCAAGGTGTCAAAGCCCTGGGACAGTCGCCGCAGCTCTTCCTCCATCCTGTCCAGCCGCTCCCCAAGGACTCCTGTGAGCTTGCGAGCTGCAGTAGAGAGATGACCAACAATATCATGACTGTTGTAGAGATCTACAGGCTGAGTCATCTGGTACGGTTACAGTACTCTGAGCTGGCTGCCCGTTATCGTCATTGAAATGGGAATCCAGTGAAACTGGGGTCTGATACATCTCACTGTCTAGCTTAAAACACAAATAACATCCAGGATTTTTAATACTAGTAAAAAAGCTTCCATGTTTCATGTAGTGGTGCCTGGTACCTAAGTACATTATTACCAGGAACTATATGAGTCAATGTTTGACGGAAGGCAATTCACTCACCATAATAAGACTTTTTGTGCCCAGGTGGTATGTGCCCACTAGGGACGGATTTCTGCTCTGGCTGTCCCACAGGGAAAGGTTTCAATGGCTCGAGGTGACCTGTGGGGACGGTCTTCTGGTCAGGTGGTACTCTAGGATGGCCCCAGGGTTGCCCCTTGAAACCAGGAGGGGTCATAGAACCCATGAACGGGGGCATCATCTCGGGGAGTGATGTGGGTCCTTCATGGCAGCCCTCCCCTGAGTAGCCAGGACAGCATCTCCACTCCAGCTCTGTCACAGCCTTGTAACCCACCTTGTACTTAGGTTTATAGAAGGTCCGATACCTGGGAGAGGAGATATGAAATTACTACCCAGAGCCGCAGATAAATTAATTTCATGTAGTCAGTCCATCCCATAAATTTCATGTCTTACAAACCATTCAGAAACATTGGTTCTGCTACTGGTTATATGTTTTAGTAAGTTAGTAACAACTGGAAATATGTTCCCTTTATTGCTTTGTGAATATCTTTTGAAATACTTACAGAATTAGTAGTTTACCAGTTTAAATATTTTTTTTCTGTTTCAGCCTTATGAAATAAGCTGTTCAATGCATGTGTATTTTTGTGAATTCAATTTTTCTTAAAACACGAGCAGAAGGATACTGTACAGTATATACTATTCTGCTGCAGTGTACAGTGTGCCCCTGTTCTTAAAGATTATGTTCATTATATGTGCTTTACTCATGAAAACACTGTATTGAATCCTTTGAATTTTAACTTAAAGTCATCATGTCTTTTCCACACATAATTTTTTGTCTCAAACTTTTAATGCATTGCAAAATCAAATTGACACACAAGAGGTCAGTGTTCGATTTACATTCCCGTCACATTGGAATGAACTTGTTCAGTCTTAGCTTTCTAAAGTACAGTGTATATCTGAGTGACTTATTTTACTTGGAAAGTGCATGGAATACCAAGTAGAGTGGCTACCACAGAGGTGGAAGACCATGAGAAATCTCTTTAACACTGACCTCTTCTGATATTTTGTCATGGTCCGTGTCTCTCTCAAGATAATATGTAAAGACGCAAAGCTTTACATCATGGATTTTCAAGCTTTTTTTGGTAGGGTGACATTCTTAGTAAAGATCCTCTATTTAAAACAAAAAAAAATCAAGCAGAATTCTATAATTCTAAATAATGCATCTTTCTACTTGTCAGTCTATCTATGCTTCCACTATACTCATACCTGATTTGTAGAACAGATCAGAAAGACAGCAGAGCTACTGTTTACAAGACAGTAAGTAATGAGGTGGTATGCCCATCTCCATTCCTCAGGTGTTTAAAGTAGCCAATCGAACCTCTTTGTGAGACCGGAGGAATGTGGAGGACCTGGAGAATGTCCATACAACCACAGGAAGAACATGCAAAGTCCAGAAAAGGAGGCCCCCAAGCCTGGAACAGAGCTCCATATTTTGACTTTGATGTCCCTACTAATTATAAAGTGTTACAAACAGAACACTACTCAAAAGATTATGTGAGCATTGTTAGAACTGACCCACTCTAGATTTTACACCCCTTCATTACAGGTGGCCCTATGTATGAACAGTCTCTGAGAACTCCTGCTATAGGAATATAGTGTCTGTATGAGGGATAGTTGAACCAGAGTCCTGCAGGTTTCACCGGCGGCTGATTAGCACCTAATAAAACTGCTTCAGCTTTTTTTCCAAATAATTAGTTCAATTAATGAACAGAGGTGGATTGAAAACAGAAGCTTGCTGTTACCCTTGAGGATTGTAATTGCCTATCCAGGATCGATGTATTCCAAGTGCATTAGTACTTTGCAATACTCGGGAGGACCATTGAAGATATCGTAGCTGGGGGGTGAGATTACTGGTGTTCTTTAGGTAAGTGTGACCAATGTTTCACTGATACTTTACTTACATGACAATTGGGCATTTCTGTCCCCAGGTACATTTGCTGTACTCGGCCTTAACATAGGTAGCTGTCCCATCCTGTATTGTGCATGAGATATTCCTCTGGACAACATATGCACAATAGTTTCTGTGGAGAAAAAAGGAAGCAGAACAACAGGATGTTTTAAGACAGACAAGACCAGGTTTTGAATGTGCTTCCAGTACCAGACATGTCTGCAATGAAACAGCTGTATGTAAAAACCTTATGAATACAAACAGAATAAACAGGGAGTGTATTTATGTTTATGGAATTTTGGATTGAATCGTAACTTCAGAGTCTCTGAGTTAGCAGTCTGCTACAGTACATCTAAGGACAAAATCAACCCTTAGGCTTTCAATTGTCGCTTACAGATGCTACAACATAGGAGCAAAAAAGTTCAGATAATAGTTGCTGACACTTTCTAGAATAAAAAAGGTGGAACGCAATCTTCATAAAAATGATGTGAACGGCCTCCAAGCGTGCAGATCATTTTTGTGCTAATGGCAAGTTCTAATCATCCTGCTCATGAACAGATTACGTCTTTGGATTTCAAAAGCTATAGTCATGAAAAGTATTACTCAGATGGCCTGGATGGATGGCATGATGCTAGGCCAGTGTGGTGATCCTGCATTAACCAGGATGTGCTCTGTCAAGCAGAATCATGTTCTCTCTTAATTTCTGGACTAGTCAGTATTTTGTACTTGCATTTGCATCATGCATCGTTATAGACAGTTCTAAAGTACTGGTAAACACAGGCACACACATCCACAAATTTTTCATTTTGGTAACCGTGTGTACTGTATACAAAAATGCATTATTCACTTTTCAACATTTGCAGGTGGTTTTGAATTGTTTCAGCAGTGAAAGAAGCACCTGTAATTCTTTTCCAGGCTCTTGGCATGGCTCTGCCAAGATTCACAGGCATTGTTGTAAACATTGTCAACTGCTGAAATATGAAGATAATGAACTGCTCATTTCTATTTTTATTTCTCCTTTTCACTGAATTATCCTGAAGGCTCTGAAATATTTTCTTCCATGTTGATTGGAATTATGCACAACTGCATTTTAATGTGGGATTTAAGGAGCATTTCCATCAGCTTCCTAAAGGAATTTCTGCTT